ATTATACATTTTTTATTTTTTGCTTTTTTGCTTTAGCAAGAACTATTCAGCTTTAGTGTCAATTCAGTGCACAAAAAGCTGTAGCATTAGTGTTTTAATGCTGGAGTTAGCTGTCAGAGCAACAGGTTATTCATATCTGTCACCGAGGATCAGTGTGAGCCTAGTTACATAACTTTTCCCTCGTACCTCTTCCAGGCCGGTGTAATTATTACGGCTGGGAATAGAGCTGCGGGAATAGTTTTTTGTGTGTGACTGTTTCTATACTTAAATATAATATCCATAACCATAAAACATTGAATTCACATGAAGCCAAGTGTTGGAGGATCTGGCCACGGTAGTCTCCCCAGAGCGGTGCAGTAAAACCGTCCTGAGCCACCATTAGGAGAAAGAAGAAATACCGTGCAGAGACAGGGGGGTTGGGGGGCTGAACCAGAGCAAGAGCACAACTGATGGGAAACTAATTTAATTTGACCTGCTATCCCACCCCACCCAACACTCAGACTCAAACATCTGCCTCCGCACAAGAGAGAAAATCCCTGCCCTTTTTATGTTTGTTGTCTCGGCTGCACTCACACACACTTGATCATCACCTCACTAAATAAGACATCTGCTCCATCGGCTGCCGCAGGGACAGAAGACTGGGAAGCAGTTTAACAAGAAACTGATAGATTTCTCTGCAGACTGTTGGAGAAACGATGAAAAAAATAATAAGTAGGAGCTTTTTTTTTTTTACTGACAAACTGCGTCACATCAGCCATAAATGCCAGCAGTTATAGGAGCTTTAGTTGACACATTAAATTAAAACAAATATTTGTAATGAACTGATGAGTAATCCCGCGGGTACCCTGCCATTTAAAACAGGATTAAATGAATCAGATTTAAAAGCGGACAGCTTTGCAAGTGCAGGTGAAACTGGAGGGAAAGTCCAGTGAGGCAGAGGCACACATACTGTGCTAATTAAATATCAAAACTTAGCTCAATTATAGAAGCTAAAGGTACAAAGTGAAGAACTGGTTGTGAGCTGAAAGAGATGACAAAACGATCTAGACCAGCGGGGTTAAAATCAATTACACAAGGGGGCCAAAATTCAAAACTTGGTCCAAACCAAGGGCCAATTTCTGTCAATATTTACTGAAAAATGTTATATAGCTAATAATTTTTATAGAAATGCAAGTTAATTTTTCAAATTATGTTTAATGTAGCATTTAGAATATACATAATCTAAGTGATAAACAATAACTATTTAATTTAGAAAAAGTCAATATTAACATTTATTTTTTATGCCTTGCTCTATCAGTAAGTTTTTCCATTTATTTTTCTTAGAGACACATTTCATCACAATTCAGCAAATTGAGTAAAAAAAAGAAGGAAATTATTCAATAAGAATCCAGATATTTGACTTTAAAAAAAGAAATGAATACAGAAAAAAATAACTGAAGTTGTTTCTATGTTACTCTTTACACACCAAAATTTAAAATTAAATTTGTTATTCGGAACACTGTAAAAAATTTCTTCTCGACACATTTAGAGCATTCAACGTCATCTCGTAAATATTAATTCTGAGAAAAATCAACTGAATCATAGAGGTATACTCTTTAGATTAAACCAATAAAAATAATAAGTGTGGGGTATCTTTGGACAATAAAAAACCAATGTATTTATATTTGATCTGATTCTAACCATATCTGTATCTCTCTCAAAGAGACAGCTGCTCAAAAGGATCTCCTGGCCACACATTAACTAATAAAATGAATACATGACTACGAGAAGAATTTACGTATTATTTTTCATCCAATGTCACCAGATGGGTTCTGTACATTTGGATAATTAGTTGAAACATGTAGAACAAGTAAACAAAAGCTGGAGCTGATTGGATTTATACCATATCAAAGTAGGGGCAATCATCAAGGATTTTTCTGACACTATTTATAGCTCCTGTAGAGAGGAGGATAAATGAAGGTGATGTGTTTTGGTAGAAAGGTGAAGGCCAAACCTAACCACAGCAGCAGCTTTGCTATGGAACATCACAGGAATTTACGACGTGTTAAACGTTATTTTGTTCCTCTCTGGCAGCTCCCCCTGCAATTAGGGACACCTGCAGAGAAGCCATTATCACCACAGCCTTTGGTGTCATCAACTCAACTTTTGTCCACAATGATTTGTTTGATCTTTGTTTTTTTTTTTAGCAAGATCTCATCTTACAGGGTCTCCAAGAAACATAATACCTCCATCCTAATTAAAAGAATAGATTAATTTCACGCTGTTGCTCCTGTTGCTTTTAGTTTAACTGCAACACCTCGAGTTCACAACGTCCCCCTGACTTGTTTCTATGCTCTCAGCTCCCGAAATAACCCCCTGTGTGCGCCATAACATTTGGCAATCCAATTTGAGATGCACGGCTGGCACAGGAACAGGAGAGGTATAGATTAACTGTAGTAATAATCATAAATCATGTCTGAAATGCTGCCATGTCACATGCCACACTGCACCACTGATGACCAGGCCCATCTTTCACGGGGTATTTTTATCTGCGTGCCCTGACACCCGACTTCTGGAATCGTCCTCTTGTTTTACGTCGTCAGCACCTCGGCCCGGCCTTTGCACAAGTTCTTCACATATCTATAAATAC